TGTCTTTAGCGATACATTGCATTTTCCTTAATAATACACTGTATAGCCTAACTGTTTAGCAATTGAAGTTATCAATTTTCATTGACAATATTACCAAATTCAGTGTTTGAAATACTTTGTACCTGGGTCTTTTTCCTTTCATGATTCACAATCGTGAACTATAATCATTGATCGTTTATGCTTAACAGTCTGAAATCAGAACGGGCCATTCTGGTTGCACTTTTAGTGCGTAAATTTTGCACCTGGAACGGACTGTTTTGCACTTTTAGTGTGTAAATTTTGCACCTGGAACGGGCCGTTCCGGATGCAAAATTAACACACCAAAAGTGTAACCAGAATGTCCCGTTCTGGTTCTAGGTATTTTCAAAAAAATTGGCATCCACCTATGCATCTACGTGGTATCCACGTGGCCACACAGTTAACTCCTTTTAAATAATTTGGACGGAAGTCCCAAATTGAAACCAATTAATTTATTAGGGACCAAATTGAGACCAATTAATTTATTAGAGATCAAATTGAGACCAAAAATAAAAGTGAGACTAAATTGAAACAAATAATTATTATAAAGGACCAAAATAGGTTTTTAGCCAATAAAAAATGAGTTGTGTAAGAGCATCTACAATGGGAGTCGCTTATAAGCAACTCCCAACCACTTTAAATGGGTCCCACTGTACCATGTCACTCATAAACAACTCATACTATATTTGTACAACTTTTGCTCCAATAGAAATTGCTTATAAGCATCTCAACTTTTTTACAACTCATATTACACTTTTTGACACCTCACATTATATTTTATGATAAATTTTTATAAAATTAATTATTATGAATAATATATGAATATGAATAATTAATAATTAAAATAATTTTCATAATTAAAAATTTTCAATAATAAAAAAAATATCAAAAATTTTAATAATAAAAAGAAATTACATAATAAAAAAATACCAAAAATTACAATAATAAAAATAAATTTATTAATAAAAAGAAATACAAAAAATTACACTCTCTATTCACGTCTCACTCTCTCTAGACTCTATCTTCACTCTAGTTCACTCTCCCTTCACTCTATTCATTCTCTCTTCTCCTACCGCACTCTCTCTTCTTTGACCGACGGCGGAGGTGGTCTGGGCAGAGGGGTCGCGCGCGGAGGTGTCAAGGGCAGAGGGGTTGAGTAGGGTTCTGGCGGAGGTGGTCGCACGCGGAGCCGCGCGATGGTTCTGGCGCTCGCGGTGGCACGCGGTGGTTGCGGAGGTTCTGCTCACGGCTGACGGGGTCGGTCAAGGGTTGCGCCCGTAACTGGGGTGTTCGATGGGGGGTTTCGCGCGGCTGACGGGGTTGGTCGGGGTTTCCGCGCAGAAAATGGGTTCCGGTCAGGGGGTTTCGCGCGGTGGAGGTTTCCACCGGAGGGAGTCGACCAAGAGCAATAACAGGTGAGGAAAGTTTTATCAGTTTTTTCGGTTTGCAAAACCGTTCCACCTTGGATGACCCTCATCCAATCAAATCTCTTCATTTTCAATTTTACAAGGTTAAGAACCGTTGCTCCTGCAAGTAACAAAGAGAAAAATTTAAGAACCGTTGCTACCACGTAGATTTACTCCAACGAGAATTTCTTGTAAGTACCGTTGCTTATAACTAAGACACGCAACAAATCTGGTGCAATTTTCAAGAAGCGAGAGTCTTTGTTCAGAGTCTCGTCGTCTCTGTCACTCTCAACCGACTTCAATAACTGTCACTCTTTAGCAGTGATTTCAGGACACACTCCATTGACGATTTTCTCAATCTCGAACTCATTCTTAGTTCCAAATTTTAAGCTAATTCTTCAATCGGTGGCTTCTGCAACGTATTGAAAATTTCTCAACTTTTACGGCTATAGTACACCACGCTTCATAAAAGATAAATAAACCATTGGGATTTCAATAACTGCACGCACCCCTTGCCTCATTTCTTTCTTTTACAATTAAAGTGGAATTTCTATTTTTTTATTTTATAAAAAGATATTCTTGACATGTGTATAAAAAAAGAAAAAAGTAGGCGAAAGAATAAATAGAATATAATTATATGCGTATACAGTATCAAATATAGCATTTCATGATTAAATAATACAACTATTTTAAAAACTATAAAGTCTAGAATATTCTGGATTGTATGGTCAGGAAATACCTAACCCTGATTGAAATATTTATGGATAAAAATATGATGGATTCTTTCTTTATCACCTAATTCATTTTTAAGTCATGTGAAACCAATTTATTAAATCAATCAAGTTGAAATAATATATATATATATATATATATAATTATATATCGTATAAATTATATTGTTGGTGATAGAAATTTTTATAATGTTTTTTTTTTAATTTTAGCGTTTGAAATAAAAATCAGTTTTATTTTCACATTAAAAACTAGAAATTGATTTTTTTCAAGGCCATTATTTATTAAACAATCATTTGTTAGAGGTTACATATTTAAATTAATACAAGAGAATAAGAAAAATGGTCCATTCATATCACTAATTAAGTTTGAATTTTGAAACACAGTTGTGTATTTTAGATTTAAGATCAGAATTTAAAAATTAAAAACCACAATAGAAATTATAAAGCCAAAATAATTTAATAGTGTGTTTGGATGGAGAATTTAAATGGAGTAATTCATTTATTTGAAGAATTTCAAATTTTTTGAGGTGAAATACCTTGTTTGGATGGAGAATTTACAAGGAATTTGAAATTCAAGCATTTGTTAAATTTCTTGAAATAGTAGAATTTCAAATTCTCCCAAAAAAAGAATTTAAAATTCCTCATATTTTCTTTTCTTATTTCCCATATATATTTCATTTTATCTCTTATCTCTTCATGTTTTTAATTATTGAATATTTAAAAATATTTTTAAAATTATTAAATATTATATAATATTAATTTTTAAAATTATTAAATATTTAAAAATTGGCTAATATTTATTTTTATAAAATTTAATTTAAAAATCTTAGCATATAAATATATTTTTAAAATCAATTTTACCATAGTGAAATTAAATTATCATATCAAACCCAATAATTTAAAATTTGAAAAATTTGAATTGACTTATTCAAACAAAATATTTTAAGAATGATAGAAATTGAAATCAAAGTAATTCAAATACAAAAAATTTAAAATTCCTTAAATTTGTAAAATTTCTCGTCCAAACACACCTTAAAAGTTAAAAACAACGACTACCAAAAAATGGTCTAGCCTATCTTAACATATTATACTTTTTTATCTTAAAAATGAAACTAAACTTCAACTTTAAAAATGTAAACCTATTCAAACTAAGGCTAAAGTCACAAGTGTTTGGATGTGCCGTTGGTCTTCTTCCAAACTATTTATATAGTATGTTCTTGTCAGTGGACCAAATATATTGGGACAAACCATTATTTAGTGGGCCCACCAGACCACAAAGTCCGGTAGAAAGTGCGTGTGACATCATGAAGATTAAAATGTTGCTCATGTTACTACATTACATGTATCATGTATGGAATAAGGTAACATATAGATGGATGGGTCTTCATGACTCATCTTCATCTTCATCCTATCAATTATTCAAATTAAGTTTGGGTTAAATGAAATTTAAATCTAAAATAATTTTAAAAAATTTCGTAGTAAACAAGTAGAGAAATAAACTCACCCCCCGTGGTAAAGTGGTAATACCGGTTTAATTTAGTTTTGACGCGTGGCTGGTCCATTGATAATCCACCTAGTACTAGTACACGTGTGAACTAACCAGCATGCGTCGTGTGTAAGCAACTTTTCTCGGTTGTGTGCCATTGCCCATCCTTTTAAAATATTCAAATACGAATCCACCACATAACCATAACGTCACTGCAAATAAATAACTTGAGCATTTTTTGTCTTCTGTCAACCATAATTTTAAAATCAATATTCTATTACAATGTTCCCCAAAAATATGACTTACAAATAGTGATGTTAATATTCAATGGCATAGTCTCCGTGATCTTTTAATTAAAAATCCTTTTGAAGATTGATTTAAACGTAAATCTACCAAAATAATAGTGCATTATTTTTCTGATAGCACTAATGAATGAATCATAAAGCACATGGCCAGCTAGCTGGCTCGTAATGATTTTTCTTCTTTTTTGAGAGAAGCTGACTTGCAATGTTAATTAAACAGGTTCCATCATCTTCCAGATTTCGCTACCAAACTTTTTTTAAATTTAATCAAAGTTTCCAACTTTGAATTTTTCTTTCTTTTGTTTTTGAGATTTTTTACCTTAAACTTTTTTTCTCAAAAAAATCTCCTTCAATGTTTTTCTTCCTGTTTAAGATTTAACACGATATTGTGCTCCTTCCGATTTAAACAACTTAGTACTTACCATCCAACTTTCAAGATTTCATAATATTAAAATAGACTTAACATTTTAAACTTTATTTTAAATGAGTTTTATACAATTAGGATTTTTTTAATTGTTTTATTTCTTTTATTTTGGTCCTGTTTCGGAATTCAAACGAGAGACTGCTCCTTCTTGCATAGGTCTATGTCAATAATTTCTGCCTCTTGGTAAATTTATGAATGCCAGCACAAACGCATGTGAATTCAATCTTCCAGCTGCAAAACCAACCTGCAATGAAACAAATTAAATAATATGAAAAGAATAAACCAAATATAAATAAAATAAAATAAAGACTGAACAAAAGTACCTGACAGGACACGCATAGCAACTGAACGAACGAACGTAACGGAGAGTCAACGGCGTCACGGGTAACGGAACAGTTCGAAACGACGGAAGCACCCAACACAACAGCCAAATAAAACGGAAAGCATAACGGGCGGGAGTTACAACGACGCTGGATTTGGTCACGCAATTAATCAACCAAGTCCTCAATAGGCCCAAGTTAGGGTTCAATTTTAAATTGAATTTTAGATTAGTTAGCTTAATTGGAGGAATATTGTCCGAAATTATTCCCGAGATTTAGATATAATGTACGCTTTGTGTAATGAAAGCATAGAGAAGGTAGAAAAAAGGGTCGAAAACTCTGGTTTGCTTCCATAGCAAAAGTTATGTACAAAAGCAATTGTGTAGGTGGAGTATGAGAGATCTATGGCGGGAATCCGGCACGGTGAAATCAAAACTGGGCGCTACCTGGGTAGAGAACCTGTAAAGAGAAAAAAAGTTTAGAAAAATGAAGGATCCTGGGCCTTGGACATGACCGAGAGACGACTGGGCCTGGGCTCGAAGGCGGCCCTTCTCCTCTGCTGATGCGAACTGGGGCGGATGAGAGCGGTTAAGGCCCTTTTGACCCACTCGCCCTCGACGCCTCCGATCCGGACGAGCGAGTTCTTCATGGCGGATCTGCGCATGTTGAGGCGGTTGGAGGGGTAGGAATCGGCGTGGTGGGCGTTGGAGGAGTTCTTGTGGAGGCTGCATCGGAAGGAGCCGGGGTGGGTGGTGGGCGAGCACATACAGGTCTTCTTCTGCCCTGAGATGGGACGGTTGTTCTTGGTGATGATCTGGTTGGAGATGGAGCGGTTGGGGGAGATGGAGCGGTTGGGGGAGATGGAGAAGCGGACGCCGCCGGAGGATAGAGGGGGTGGGGTGTATAGATTGACACGTGTGGGCGATGCCGCACGGTGGTGAGAGTGGTGACGTGGATGGTGGAAGAAGGTGGAGGAGGGAGAAGAAAAGGTGGAGGAAGCGAAGGCCGATGAGGGGGAGGAGAAGGGGGTTTTGGAGGTGGTGTAGGAGCAGAATCTGGTGGAGGGTGAGAGGGAGCGGAGGACTGGCCCACTTGACTTGGTTCTGGAAGACGAGGAAGCCATTGAGAGAGAGATTGAAGAGTCTCTAAGGACCCCTTTGGGGGATTGGTTTGGCAAACCTAGCGAGTCTCGGAGGCCGCTTATAAAGATCCCGTGAGAGAGGGTGAAGGGTGAAGGGTGATTCGTTCCCAGGGTTAGGGGTGTTTTCGACATGGACTACTCGGGTTAGTTAACTTAACCAGGGTTGCCTAACAAAGGAGCGGGGAAAAGTGAAAACGATGCCTCAGCCTCAGCCTCAGCCTCAGCCTCAGCCTCAGCCTCAGCCTTTCCATTCCTCGCTCACACCCACTTCTTTGTCGGTAATAATAGTCCTCACCCTTTTACACAAATAACTGCAGGCGCAGGATCCCTACTCCCTACCTCACCTCGCGCCCCGGCCCCACATTGCTTCACGCAAACTCTCTTCTATGTTCTATCACATATTCCTCCGTCTCCTCTAACGCGCTTAAACACTCTATACTTATTTATTTCGGTTTAATGTTAATTAATACCATTTTATTTTAATAAATATTTTATCTTATAAAACTAGCATTCTTAAAATGTAATTAAAATATAAATTATTAAAATAAAATTATACGATATTTATTTTTCTTAATAAATATTTTGATATGAAACACATCAATCACTTCATAAAATTAGAATATTCAAAAGTCTAATACGTTGTCTCTATTATATAACTAAAATATTTATAATTGATTGTTTATGAGTCTCTATAATTTTAGGATTTGATGAAATAATTTAAATATTATATTTTGATTTATTATCTTAATTATTAAAGGTAAAAATTAGTCTAAATTTATTTAAATTAAGATAATTCTAACTCTCCTAAAAATGTTTTGATGGATGATTATATGTTAAGATATATAAGTCAATTTTAGTCTGACTTGTGTAATAGGTCAAATATTTCATGACCATTCTTTACACATATCATTTTAGTAAATTTTTCTCACAAGGTACATCTCAAATTATGTCCAAGATGGTACACTATCTATATAGGTTTATCAAGTTGTAATATCATGATGGTACGGTACCTATATAAGTTTATCAAGATGTAATGTCGTGTTTAATTCGACTAAGGTAATATCGAGTAGCTTACTTGACCTTTCTCATTCCAAATTATATTTAGGATGGTACAATAAGAATTATAATATCATGTAATAGTTGCACAATTGATTAAATCTTTTTATTTCTATTGGCAATGACCTCAAATCAAATATAACTTTCCTCATGTTTTATATTGATTTGTAGTCTTAAATGGAAATTTTCAAAAAATAAAATTGGTGGTTGACTATAATCTTATATGAAATTGTATCTTATTCTAATTTAAACTTTTATTTATAAAAAAAGGTAAGATAATTACTATAATAAACAAAAGAATAAAATATACATATAAACATTTATGTTTCTTTCCATTAAAAGTTATTTTTGTTCAATTTTGTTAGGACTTATGGTGAGCCTTGAAAATTTGTGAACTACAAAATAATATATATATATA